CAGACGTGAAAAGTACTTATGCACAATCTCATCAAGAGAAGCCATGCCTCATGTCCTGGGCTAATTAAAAATATTGATTATAATTACCTAAACATTCAGCTTCTTTCTTGGCCATTTGCTAAACTGTTTGTACATGAACTACAGGCTCTTTATACTTTATACTTTTTATATATTATTCCGACCCATATCTGTGTCTGTCCATTCTGCAATCCATCTGTGTCTTATCCAGTAAGATTCCACATCAAGCCTATTTTTCTGTCCAGACTGATAGCAAAAATGACGTCACAACAAAAACAAAATCACAGCCAATTAAATGAGTATGCAGATGAGTTTTCTCTTTCACTCACAATGCATTGTGCAGCATGAAACATACCTTGTACTTGGCATGACTTCTGTGATGCGTCTCCAGATGGCATCCTATTTATGTTTTTTCTTGTACTAGTTTGCAAAAACTAACAATATATATATATATATATATATATATTGATAAATCCCAGATTATAATACATTAATGTATCAATTGTTACGATATGCATTTAAAAATAGTTAAATTAAAAGTTCCACCTACTACAAATGACGCGTTTAAAGTAGGCTACTTATATAACGTAATTACTTTCACCAAAAAAAAAAAAAAAACACGCCTTGTTTACTTGGACGGGCCAAAAGCATGTTCTCACCGTTTAAGTCCTTGAAAGGACGACGGCCATGACATTCTGGACTTCTTTAAACCGGGACGGTTACCGGTGTCCACAGGATATGTCCGGTCCATGGTCCTGGGATTCAGGTACTTTTCCGTGTCGGAAAAACCTCTCTGTCTCACCCGGTAGTTCTTGCGCGAGCCGAAAGAGTTCTGGATCTGAAGAGGAACCGGGCTCTGTTGCCTCCACAGATGTTTTGGCGCATTTCCATCGGTACCGGGAGACACCAAAGTTGACACCTCGCTTCCGGCGTCCATTCTTGCAGTTGTATCTGCTCGCTAAAATTCGTCAAAACACTATATTTTGTGAGATAATTATTGCAACTAACTGTTAGCTTTGGTGCGAATCGTCCGAAACTTGGAAAACATCCATAAGAAAGCGTAGAGTAAAGTACACCATTAGTGCTATTTCCAAGAAAGCAATAATATTCTACATAAAATATGCAAATGCATATAAACAGAAAAGTCAATTTTGATGTTCACTTTACTGGATTGACCCATTCTGTCCAATAGTTCATCGTCTATAGACATTGCTGCTCGCTTATATCGTAATGTCCATAATAACACAAAACTCAGGACAATAAACGCTTTCCCCGTCAAATTGGTTCCCAAATAAACTAGCAAATCTTCGGGGTCCATGCAACAATATCAGCATCCCTGTCTCGCGCCTCGCCTGGACGCAAAACAACATCCAAGTGCTCTCAGTCTCCTCTCCACTTCACAGAAGTGATACTGGGAGGAGATCAATATTTATTCGGCACAGGTTGACTGACAGACCAGGGGGAGGAGCCTAATGCTCATCGCACAATGCGGGAAACAACTTTGGGAAAACAAAACTTCTTATTTATTTATGCCGAATCAGTCAGATGACGAAAAAAAAAATTTTAATACAGTGGTGCTCAAAAGTCCACTTAAATTTTATACATTACTCTGTTTCTCTCTCTCTCTATGTTATATATTTATACATTCATTATATATATGTATATGCTATATGCGTGTGTGTATATATGAATAATTAGTATGTATATGTGCTCACACACATATACATACTAAATAAATGGACACTTTTCACAGACTGTGATGACACGTTTCAACGGTCATTAGCATCATAAATCCTACAAAGTTTTTTATATTTTCATTTTTTAAATTATGTACATTTATAACACTATACTTGTATATATGACCTTTGCATCACATTACTAAAAAACGAGTTAACGTTGCTGTGAGGGTGTTTCTAATACTGAGGCTGTGGGAATGACAGTAAATTTGACATTGCTCACACTTCTGACTGCCGTTATCAATCGCTCTCTATTTTTTCCTCTTTTTGAAAGTCATGAAAACCCTATTGTGGAGTTTTTCCTTTGGCTATTTGAGCAAATGGGAACACAAAAAAATATATATATTTGATGTAGTCTCCCATTCACTGCTATGGAAGTTTACTTCCGCTTCTGAGAAACCAGGCAGGAAATGTGAAAAGAGTCCATTATATATAAATATTCATTATATATTTAATATATAATTGAATATATATTACAACTATATTTCACATTTTTCATATACTCACAAATTTAACATTTAATTAGTATATTTTAGAATTTTTCACATTTAGTACAGTTTGTGTACAGTGACTTAAAGCATCCTGACAGGTCATCATACACACTCAGTTACACTCTCAGTTTTCTTCACATGAGCCGAGCAATACTGACAGCATCTTTTAGGTGTCAGTTCAACCTGAGCGAACGATAATCACTAAACAACCACACAGAATCCTGAAGTTATAAGCATGAAATTACTTTTGACAGCAAATCTGTTCTTTTCCCCTTCTCTCTTTTATCGGAGATAGATTTTCAATCAAATACAATGCGAGTCAACCCTCAGTTCAGGCACTAAAACCAAAGCGTTGTTCGAATGACTGTCCTGCATCTGACACAGCATTGACAGGAAGGCAATTCAAAGATAAGTGTGTGTAATAGAAAGGTGTTGGATAAAGCTCTCTTTCCATTAGAGGCAGCAGGAGGAAAAAGAATTGAGGCAATTTATCCAGTGAAGTTGGCATATTAGAATATTCACTGAATTGTAAAGAGGGGAGCATGACCTTGTGAATTACAGCCTGGCATAAAACAGGGAATTGATGCATACACATAATCAAGATGCAAGGCTTATTCAGAGCAGAAGATGCAATTGAACACTATAGGCAGTGTAACACAATTAAGACAATAGTTCATACTAGTGAGCATCAACAACAGTTTCTGAAATACAAGGCGAAATCTTCATTTGTGTATGCATTCTTGCAACTTTTCTTATGTTTAATGCACAGTGTTCTTAACATCAAAATTCTCCAGTCCTCACAGTTGGAGACGGAGGCCTCCTGGGGTATTGAAAAAATGATTTACCATAATCAGATGGGAAAAACAAGCCTCATGCGTATAAAGTCTATGTGCCGTAGCTGGGAACTGATGTTGCGCATCACTAAGCACTTGACTGACAGATTCTCCGTCTCTATAGCTGGCGTGACTGTCAATCATCTTTTGCTTTAGATACTAATTATGAGAAAGTTGCTAGCTATCATCGAGTTGTCTTTGGTTGGACTGTATTCATTCTTTGGACCACTGAACTGGTCCACCACGCTTTATCAAACGTCACGATGCTACAAGGCCATGTAAAAACCAAAGACCTACAATAAAAAGTTTGTATCTTTGTCAGTTTTTGTAATCTAAAGCAATAGAACAATGCTAAGTGAAAAAAATGCAACTAACTATAAATTTAGGACAGACTAAATAAATAGGTGTGGTCTGTGCACATTCTCAAGAAAAATAAGAGCTGCTGACTCAAGGAAACCAGGTTGAAGTCAGACTTGGGTTAAATCCCTCTTTACCTCTCTCACCCCTAGCATAAAGGAATAGTTCCAACAAAAATGAAAATTTGCTCAAAATTTACTCACCCTCAGGGCCATCCAAGATGTAGAAGTGTTTGTTTCTTCATCAGAACAGATTTGGAGGAATTTAGCAATACATCACTTGCTCACCAATAGATCCTCTGCAGTGAATGGGTGCCGTCAGAATGAGAGTCCAAGAAACGGTTGATAAAAACATCACAAAGTAATCAACACTCCAGTCCATTAATTAATCACTTGTCTTCACTGGAGAAAGCAATTTTATGGATAGAGGACTTGTATGATAGCTGGAAGCTAACGGATTGAAATTAAAAACGTCTTAGTGATGAATTTGTTTGTAAAAAACATGCAGCTTTTTGCTTCACAACATGTTAATTGATTGACTGGAGTCGTTTGTTTTTTTGTAATGTTTTTATCAGCTGTTTGATCTCTCATTCTGACGGCACCCATTCACTGCAGAGGATCCATTGGTGAGTAAGTGATGCAATGCTAAATTTCTCCAAATATGTTTCGATGAAGAAAAACTCATCTTGGGTGGCCTGAGGGTGAGCAAATTTTCATTTCTGGGTGAACTATTCCTTTAAACTAAAAATTTCACTTTTTCCCATTCAGCCTATGTTAATAATTTGACTGTCTGTTTACACAAAACGTGCAAAAACCCTTGTTGGCAGAGGCTCTTTTCAAGTGTCTACCAATGCTCAGAAAATTTACCTTTAGTACAAACAGCATTTCACTTCTGTTTACACTGTTTGTATAGCATTTACCACTGTTTGAATTTAGTGTAAACAAGATGCTGTTTGTTGATTTTTACACTTAGTGCAAACAGTAACACTATTTACAATCTGTGCAAACAGCATCTACCAGCAGTTCATGATGATATTGATTTTAAGAACATTTCTTGTTTACTTTCAGTTGGGCCACCGATTATTTTCTTCAGTAAAAGTAGTGGAGATTTTCTGATCTGAAGCATTTAAATTTCACATACATGCAATAAAATGTGCTTGCTAAAATGATGACACAATATAAACATTTAGACTACTGTATAGCCTAGCAATCAGAATCATCAAAGTGCATAACTGACTTTGACTAAAACAAATGATCTTGTAAAAAAACATCTCCAAAGCAAAAGAAAATAAACAGATCAAAAACACAATTAGCTCCAACGTATCTAGATCAGACAAAAGCGGATTTGAATTTTCTGTAAGAGGTTCTTTGACCCCTGTTAATTACATGTTTGAAAGTAAAAGTTTCTGTTTTAATTCAGAATTGGCTTTTAGTCCTGCTAAAATGTTGATATTGACTTATAGCAAATCTATAACATTTAAAATGTAGTCTTTCTTTCTGTTAAATGGAACAAAAACAATCAGCGGCAATAATGAGAATATAGATGATAAAGGCCAAGCTGTTTACCTGCTTGTATCTGCGGAGGTGATGGCAATGAGTGGAGGTGCTCTCAAAGGGAGGCTGGTGGGTCGAGGCTGGGCCGTCTCGGTCTCTGGTTTCCTCTCACAGTAGTACTGCTCAGCCTGCCTGAAGGCCAAAGGGGGCAGCTGGACGGTTCGGCAGGAAAGCCTGCGGACCGCAAAGGGCTCCATGCAGGAGAGTGGACATGAGTCTGGGGAGTCTGGGGAACAATCAGAGACCTAAGAAGGTGACAGTTTCATTAATAGTCATTTTCCTAAATGCTTTACAGTTTTAGAGAACTTATGAGATTTTTTACTAAAAATAGTCCACTAATTTAAGTAGAGATATATGAACTGTTAAAAGTCCTCAGATGAACCTTCAGACTCATTTTCGCAAAGATTTCAAGTACACATTCTATTCAAAAATTTCGAACAATGACCCATTTGTTTTCTGATACGTTTTAAGTCTGATTTTCAGCCTTATACTAAAATGATTAACCTTAAAACATTTTTGAATTTGTAAACAGCAACAAAATTATAAATATTGTGTGTTTTGAATGATCTAATCTAAACGTTGCTTGAGTGCCAAACCAGCATACTAGAGGGATTTCTAAAGGATCATGTGACGCATATCCATCCATCCATTTATCATTCCCGTTTGCTGCGATCCTCAGCCCCCTCTTCTTTTGACAATATGCTCTGAAGACCCATCAGAGAACCCTCATTCCCCCTGAATACAAGGCAATATTGATTGGATACAGAGAGACCAGCTCTCTCCAAACAGCCTCGGGACAAAGTAGAAAACACAAATCACCATTGATTCCCACAAAAAGGCGCCCCACTTAATCTCCTTCAGGCACCAACCTCAAAATGCAATGAAAAACAGTTCAATTATCCTGAAAGATAAATTATTACATAATTCTTAGTCACCCATTCAGATTTCTGACTGAAGGCAAAATGATTCAGTACCTGTGCTCAAAGACAGGTCTACAAGGCATTTATTTCTTTTCTGACAGTGACATTTTCCTTTGTTTTCGGTTGTAGAGAAACACCTCTCAGGAGGTTTACATTTAAACTTATCACCTCATACATTATTAATTACTTAATTGTGTTCACTCACATAGAGCTAGAAGCCAAAACAAGGTATCCCATTCCCGGAAGAGTTGTGAACGATGTGAACGGAAGAGTTTAAAACAGTTCTGGCCTTCAGGAACAATTAATTTACCTCTTCACGGGAGGCAAGTTAGATGTGTCTCAATGCTATTGTAGGAGGTTTAGGGGACAAAAGTGTGGATACAAAAGGACATTTCATCTGGACACCCAAGTTTCATGCTTGAAATATTATTTAAATGTAAAATTTAAAAAATATAAATCAGAGTGGCGATAGGTGGACTTTGAATACAGCAAAGTTTGTAAAGTGTGTTTTTATATTTTAAATAAAACATATACACACACACACACACATTATATTAAATTGCATCTTTTTAACTGACTTTTTTAGTTTTGATAAATCAGATATTAACTAAAAAACAAATTTTCTATCTAAATTATCACTGCCCAACTGTGAAATAAGAGTTTTAAACAGTCTTTTGATTCAAGGTGAGAGCAGTAAACAACGTCTCACCTTTCTACACTGATGACTGTAGTCACATCCCATGAAAAACACATTAACTGCAAGGAAACACGCTCCCTTTGGGGGGGGAACACCCCAATCTTATTGCCCGAATGAATTATGCAAACCATCAGCCGACTCATAAATAAATAAGTGAGTAAATACAGAAACCTTTGATCCAATTACCAGTGTTTTCACAGAGGTGTCGCATATATAAACATTTTAATTATCGTCACTGATGCTTTGTAGAGCTCCACTGCGTTTGAAATATTGGTAAATGTGATTTCAGAGAGGAATGATTAAGGTGTCACATGGGTAAAGACCGGCACCCAAATGAGGTACTCTATCAAGTGAGACCCGATGATATTTAACTAACAGGCTTCAAAGCAGATTTGTTTTATTTTTTCTTTTACTGTGGACTGAAACCTACATTTTCAGAAATGCTCAGTGATTCACTCATCATCAGGTATCTTAAAGTGTTCATATGAATTTTAGGGAAGGTAAACAGCTTGGATGGTTTAATTTGTCATTCAAACACTAAAGAACAATACACTGCTCATTTAATGAAATGTATTAATTATGATGAAGACAGAATGAAGGATGATAAGAAAATTAAAACAGACTAAATGAGCTGTAACTCAAACATAAAGGCACTTCTGACATTAAAAAGTCATTAAAACAAAAACACTTTAGACATCATAAAGCACCAGAAATGAATCACAGTGATATGAAGCTCTTTATGGCGGGCCAATGGAGCCTCAGCATTGCCCCGGGCTTTTGTGATGTGAGCAGTAACACGGGTTACACAGGTGATGACAAGTGATCAGAGTCTCTTATCATGTCGCCTAGAGCTGAATGACAGCAGGTCAATGACGAATCTTAATTCATTAATCTTCTTACAAAAGACTACAATTGATCTGCCTCCTTTGAGACTAGTTCTGTAAGGATATATTTAAGAGACATATTTCAGTTTAATAACTAAAGGCCTCCCAGGATATAAATAAAAAACACTGGATGGTAATTAGATTTTTATTAGATACATTGGCTGTTTATTAGTTTTATATTAGATACATTTGTGGGGGGGGGGTATAGCAGTCTGAGTATAGCAAGTATAGCAAGTATAGCAGTCAGAGTCTGACTGCTATACTTGTTCCTCGTGTGTGTGCACCCGTGACAATACTAGTAGCACTATAGCTGTTCCCTGGAGGCCTTCTTTACCCCACATTATATTAACATATTCAAAAATATATATATTTTACCATCCTGTTTTATACAAATCATATTGCTCTATCTATATTACATTTAAAAAATCCATTGTCATACACTAGCAATTAAAAGTTTTGGGTCTGTAAGAATTTTTTTATGTTTTTGAAAGACACCTCTTATGCTCACCAAGGCTGCATTTATTTGATCAACAGTAAAAACTGATATTATGAAGTATTATTACAATTTAAAGCAGATTTTCGTATTTCAATATACTTTAAAATGTTATTTATTTCTATGAAGGCGAAGCTGAATTTTCAGTAGTCATTACTCCAGTCTTCAGTGTCACATGATCCTTCAGAAAACATTCTGATATGCTGATTTAGTGTTCAAAACACTTTTCTTATGATTAATGTTGTGCTGCTTAATATTTGTGGAAACCATGATACAGCTTTTTTCAGGATTCTTTGATGAATATAAATAGAAATCTTTTGTAATGTTATAAATGTCTTTATGGTCACTTTTGATCAATTTAATGCATCCTTTCTAAATAAAAGTATAAATTTATAAATAAATAAATACATTCATACATACATATCTTACTGACCCCAAACGTTTGAACAGTAGTACACACATGCACATTCCTCACATAACAGAAATTGTGCAGAAATTGCACATTTAAGTGCTGCACAAGGACACAAAGGTGGTAGAGGAGCTCAGCAACACTACGGTTCATGGTTTCACTGCTTCTGGGGTTTCAGTCTTGGACCCCCACTGGTTTACAGCTCAGATCATTAATCACTGCCACAAACCTGTTTGGAAGTACTGATAAATAACTGATTTAGAGCAACTGATTTCCAAGGTAATGCTTTTTTATAATGACAGTCACAAACCCATCTGTAGGCAAGGTTTCAAGTGACTATATACTTTATCACAGGTGAAAGCATAAACATTCCCTTTGTTCCCTTCATTTATAAAGTGAAAACATCTTCGTGAAATATCATTTGAACCTGTAACATCTGTTCTGAGTTTTAACCAAAGCTAGCTGCTCTGTCTTTTGGTGCCCAATGATGATTAATAAACCTCTTAACCGACTCCAATAATTACTCAATGCTTGTAAAATGTCCAGTGCGATCAATAAAAGTTACACATATTGAGATTAATTGTCAGTGCATGTGTATGGCATGAATGATTTCAGTGCACTCACGTTCTCCAATTGACTTTCGCCGCTGCAGGCATTCTCTTGCATTGTTTGTCCCCCAGATAAAAGTTGAGGTTTCAGCCTCAGAGCGTAGAAAGTCCTAGAACAAATCAAATAAAAGGAGGTTTGTCATCACACAAATCATGAGACTTGTAAAATAAGGTGACAACAGACACCACAAGACCACATGTCGGCTCAAAATCCCATTTAGACTATTACCAGCTTACTGTAATTCTGGCATCAGAAACTGCATTTGAATAAATGTACTTTTCTTTTCATCAGTGAGTCTGTGGTCCTTGGGGACAAGCTGATAATCTAGGAATCAACAGTTCAAGTGCCAGTTTTGCATGAATAAAGAAATTTGAGCTGCTTTCAAAAGCATAGACTGCAGTGTGCCACAAATATGCTTGCACACACTGGGCTGTGTCACATTTCTCATTAAGTTTAGGATAATCATTGTATGCATTTGATTTGACCTTGAAATGATGTGTTAATTTCTTAAATTAGAGCTTCATAAATTATTCATAAGGCAGAACAAGCTCTGTACTATTTGGAGTTGGCCAGTTCTACAAAGTCACTTGTTTTACAAAGTAACTTTCAACAAGGCAGGAAAAAACAAACCGAATCTTTGACAGATGCTTGCTGCTTTGAATAATCCAAAAACTTGAATTTCAAGAATTTCTCCTAGGCATCCTCGGTTTAAAAATAAGCATGTAAATCCATCATTTTAAAATGGTAAATTGAGATTCCTAACTGTGAGGTATTCTATAACCTAAAACATGCTATAATGTTTCCATTATAAAGGTGGGTGATTATTCATGCCAATGCATTATTACTTGGGTAGGCAAGTCTTTTGTTGCAGGCGCAATTCTGCTGATTTGAAGAAAAACTTCTATAATTCACAAGGTGAAATCATTTTCTTTCTCTGGATTCCTCCTCTTTTTTTTCTTAAAACATAATCAATTCAGAACTGCACAAATCTGAATATGGCCGAAAGCTATAGGGTGCAGGGAGTCTTGTGATGGACTGGCTGTGCATCCAGGGAGTTTCCCTGCTTGTGGCTCAAGACGATGGGTTAGGCTGCAGCTCTACATGACCTTAATAAGGACAAAAATGTTTGGATAATAGAATGGATGGATAGATTACTTCTTAAAAGTTTTATTTAAAGATACAGTCAACAACTTTGAAGGCATTTTTTGTTGGTTCTTTGGGGAACCCAAAAATATTCTTTTATGGCATCACTTGGAAAACTGTCTTTTTGGAAACTTTATTTCTAAGAGTGTAGTGGTACAGCATAAAGGCAACTGGGATAATAAAAAATCAAAAGCACCTTTTAAACTAGGATTTCTTTAGCACCGTTGTACCCACAAACCAAACACAGAGGGGAAGGAAAAAAATTAATTTGTTTTAAGTTCAAGCTGAAGCTGAAATCAACAGACATAGCACAAATATATAGAATGTGATGAGCTAAATTTGCGAAATGAAAACCTACTACACACTAAAAATTTGGAAAGAATGCTAAAAAACAATCTTTTCTTACAGAGCATTTCCCTAGTCATATTGCAAATAGCTGTGCAACATGAAATGTCTAAGGAATTAATTTTTCCCCCCCCAAGTAGTTTTCATAATCTGAAGTCTCTATCACCATCTAGTGGCTATTGTGGCAGAATCAATTCACATTCGAATCTGCAGCATATAAACCTATTATATTATTTAAAATAAGTATATTATATACAATGTATTCACAAAACAAAAATATGATTAAAAGAACAGAATATTAAGCATAATTCAGATCTTGTACTAAATGTGAAAGGTTTCTGATCACTCTTCATCTAGAAATTGTAGTCATAAAACTACTACAGCTCCCTTGACATTGTACTACTTACAGTGGAAAATACAATGTTTTTAGAAAGAGGGCCCATGTCTCAGTGCTGAAAATGTAAACTCTCTCTCTCAGACAATTATTTCCCCAGGCAAATATTTGTGAGTGTCACAGGCTAAAATAGGCATATGTCAATTATTGTTTACAGAATATTTTCCATGGGAAGCACAACAAAACCTTTTCCACATTATTTTCTGACAAAGTTTGCCAAAGAAATCCATCAAGCACTGGTAGTTGATATGATCACACACAACCCACGGCATCCTCTATAAAAGAAAATGATCATGCATATGGCATGTTGATGTTTTTAAATCAAAAGTTATTTTCCTCGTGTTCTCTGCCAGGAAGAATATTTGTATGCTTGGGAAATGTTTACCCCGCAAAGGCAAAAGTCATGTCATGTCATGTCATATATGCAATTGCAAATCTAACATATACAAAATAACCATCAACAGGAACCCAGAGGCATTCATATGTATCATTTTGCACACTGCAGCTCACATTATGGTCATATATATCAACTTTTGTATATCAGCATTGCCATTACTGCATCTTTAAAGGTCCCATATTTTACACCTTTCTGGAGTTTTATTTTAGGTTTTGATGTCCTTAAGATGTAAAAATAGTTGCCTGCCGAAATTGAAATGTATATACATCATCATGACTAGACAGACATGGTGAGTTTGTCTTTACTATACATGTTAGATGTGATCCACCTCATAGTAACAATCCTGTCAGATCGTCCATCCTTTGATCACAGCTACTTTATGCAGGCTGTGTGCATTTTACTGTGGACTGACTGTTTTGAAACTTATATGGTAGTTACATAGCACCTAGACCTCAGTTATCATGAAAAAAGCCAGGAAATTTCAGTTTTGACAATATGGGACCTTTAAATGTCAGTTACTCCCATGTTGCCTTGCCATCGGTGTTTCTGCTGAGGTTATTGAACTTTTAACGCGTCATAATGAGAGTTTGGGGAAAATGTCTGCACTATTTTCCTTTTGATGTTGTTCCAGGAATGGCTTTTCAACCTCTGCGCACAGGATGTTAGATGAGGCATTTTTAATCAATCTTAAAATGGAAAATAAGCAAAGGCTTTTTATTCCATATATCCTGTCCGGGGAGAGGAAAAGAGGAACTTTTTTTAGATGCAAGATCAAGAAGCTCACAATAGAACAAGACGGCCTTGATGTTTGCTAATAGCAATCTAAAAAATCAAAAGTTTAGCCTGTGATAGTTCATCTGGTAACGAATTAAATGGAAATACAAGCAGCATCTTGTTAATATGATTAAGACTGTTAATGTGATGCAGACAACCTTTTGCCATCAAAACGTGCAAGATTTGAATCCTTGTCATTTTGAGTTATACTGACACCTAGCTGTGTGGATGCTGCATCACAAAAACATTTTTGCTTGCCTATGCCATTTTAAAGGGGTCATATGATGCGATTTCAATTTTTCCTTTCATCTATGTAATGTCCCCATTTAGAAAGCAAAGTAAACGTGTGTGTGAGTGTGTGTGTGTGTGTGTAAAATAGTATATCAGTCTGGCGAGTAAACAAAAAAATTTACCATCATATGACCCCTTTAAAAATGCAAAATCTTCACTCCATCATTAGCCATCATTAATTTATTTATATTGAGCGAAATGTCCGATAAAAAGAGGGCTAAAGATAAAGAGAGTAGTATTGACCTGGTCATGTGACTCCAAGAGGCAACCTGGTACATTCAAAATAAAACCGCTTTAATTAAACTACTAATATTACTAGTCTTCATATTTTGTGAGTGTAGAGGATTTAAAACTTTTAACAGTTATATTCAATTTCGACAAATTAAAAAAAGATTTTTCAAAGTTGTAAATAAAACAGGTAACTGTACTATGTTTTATAAGAAAATACTGGGGGTTTTTTTTACATAAAAATTGCATGTTTAATTTAATGTGTTACTTCCTGTATCTTTAAAATTATTTGTGAAATTTATAGCAATTACTGAGTGAAAATGGTTTCCTAGCTTTTTTCAAGTAAATCCTACTCCAAAATTTTTTCAGTGTATGAAAAAAAACCACAGTGCGCTTTTAACATAAAAAAGAACAACCTAGACTTGCCTAGATTGTTTGGCCTGTCATAGTTCATTCATTCTTGCCGCCGCCTGAGGGTCCCTTACTAGTTTCCTCTCATGTTCCTCACACTGATTTAACGAATGAGGATTAGCCAGGTAGATTCTGGTGTGGGCATATGCCCCCAAATAACATCCACATGATGGAAAAAGCAAACTGTCAACTTTGGCACACTGTCAGGAGTTCAGATTGACCTTTAAAGCATGAATTTATGTAATTCATTGGGTTAGCATGAAACAACAGCATGAACATGTGCTTGTCTCGAGTGCCTGGATCATCGATTCTCAGACATGCCTGCACATTTTCCAACCATTTTTAATATGTTTGAAATAAAAGATTCTACCTTAATTGTACCTAATGAGGGCTCAGACTATACACTGTGGAAACTGATGGCAAAGGAGCAGGAAAAACCGTCTGCTACCAAGAGCAATCAAAACACAGCCAACTTCACCCATCCCTAATATTTCAGTGAACTACAAAAAGCAATGTGCATGGCAGAGGTTTACACAAAGGTTTAATTGTTCAAAGCAACAAAGGGCATCGGACAGCCAACGAAAGGAGGATGTTTAAATTAAGTTTCCAGTAACCTCCGCGCACAAAAGCTTTTGAAGCATAACGTTCACAGTTTGTGAGGGAGACATGTTAGAGAACAGCAGGGGTCTCTACCCTTACAAGTTTTAAGGCCGATCATATAGTAATAATTACCCAGCATAGCTATTAAATGCAGCGATATTGTGCTTTAAAATGTCATAAGGAACCAATTAAGAGTGCAGATGTTTCAGAGGGGAAGGGTGGTGTCATCAATTACATCATTAGCTGGCCTTCTTGACATCATATATCATCGCACACCCGTTTGAACGTTTTCTTGTTTCAGAATCAGCATTTCTGCACATCATAAAAGCGCACACTGGATTGTTACACTTCTCGTTATTAAAAAATACTGGATCGTAAAATGAAAATCTTGTTTTGACTTCTTGCTCAATGTTCAAGTACACTGTGTAACTTTTTTTTTTTTTTAATAAAAACTGGCTGTTAGATTGATAGATTTCTAGGTTGTAACAC